AAAAAGCCGTAAGAAGACCAAATAGGCAATCTGTCAAGAAAAAAAGAAAAAAGTTTGTTTGTGTTGCATGAATAAATGTTTTAAAGTCATAGTAAAATAACCATTTTATTATTATATTTGCTTTTGATGAAACAATTTCAAACTCACTTCATATTATTTGCTTTTGAAACAACTTTAAAACATTTACATCAAGGTTGAAATACTGTTTCAGGCAAAAAAAAAATATATGAATCACCTGAACATGGCTTATAATGACCAATATTGAATGCTGTTGCATTCTATATACTTTAGAACAGTATTTCCAAATTGTAGGTCGAACACCTTAATTGAGTCATGAAATTAATTCAGAATGGAATTTAAATAAAAGAGTAAATATCATAAAAGAGTAAATAAAAGAGTATATTGTCCACTTTTTTAATTCAATATATAAACTAATATATATTATGTACACTGAAATTGTTGCAATACATTACTTTGCAAAATAACTTTCTTCCTATAGTTCTGAATAAACAATAAAATGAAAAAGTATTTCTTTAGGTAGTTTTAAAAAATACTCTGCCTGTGCACAGCATACTATATTAAGATTCACGTTCCTGCATGAACACACACACACACACATACACACACAGAGTCATTACTAAATAAACACTGTAGTCTCTTATGTAAAATTTAAAATACATGTATAGATAAAACAGCTTCATTTACATTAGCTACAAAAATGAACTATCTGTTTTATAAATATATGTGCAAGATTTGACAAAAAATGAGAAAACAGTATGGTGATTTCTCAAATATTAAAACTAGTTATAACACATGATCCATTTATTCTACTCCTAGGTATTTAACAACAAAAAAAAAAGAAACACAAAAACACTAATTCAAAAGGATACATGCATTCTTGATTCATTTGAGCACAACTTACAATAACCAAGTTGTGGGAGAAACTAACTGCCCAAGATCAAGTGCATGGACAAAAAACACGTGGTATATGTACATAATGGAGTACTAATCAATTCTAAAAAGATAAACTCTCGCCATTTGCTACAATATGAATAGAACTGGAGGCGATAATGCAAAGTGAAACAAGTCAAACATGGATGGCTTTAAGTATATGCGGAATTTAGAGAAACAAAACAAAAGATCAGACAGCCTTCAACTAATAAAATATCCTAAGAGTCTGTTTGTAGAATTGGGGCTACCAAAGGGAGGGGAAGAACAAACTGGGGAGGAGACAACAGATTATGGTAGAAGACTATCGAACCGGTGCCTCTGTGGTGTATCTGTTGTAATATCTTACACATGAAAGATGTGATCCTATACCTGTAAAATCATATACGGTGTTATAAATCAATGTTACCTCAAAAAAAAGTTTTTAAAGAAAAGTGTTATTAGATAAAAAAGCAGAAAAGGAAAGACAAAATTACTGTATGTTTCTCCATTTCATTCTTTTTATCCATTACAAAAGATAGGTAATATACATACATACACATATGTGGGTATGAGTGTGTGTGTATATGTAATAGATATCTATGTCCATATCTATTAGTATGTGTGCATATGTGTGTACATATAGCTTTTGGAATCTATATGATAAATTTATAAATATAGTCTTCTCTATGTCTCCACAGGAGATGGTTTGAGAAACAGAAATAATTTTAAAAAGCCATCATAATATTACTATGCAAATACAGTCATTGTTAACATCATGACTCTTCTCTCCAATCTTCTAAGCAAAGTCTCATTACTTCATATGTTCAATTTCTGCCATGTGCTATCTGTACTATGCCTGGTTTCACCATAAGTCTTTTACTCCAAATACACTCAGAGAGCTTTTAACAACTATTTTAGTTCTTAGTCCAAACTCCCTAATGTCCTATTCATGAATAATTTCAAGCTTGGTTCCTAACATTTCATGATCAAAATTGAATAAGAAATGTATTTTTGCAAATAATATACTTAAATTTCAATTGTGATTCAATTGTGATGTTCTTAGAGAAACTCTTCTAGCCATTTTTTCTTTTGCAAGAAAACACTAGTTTCACTGAATTTAATTGGCTAATAAGTTTTGTAGCAGTCAACCATTGTCCTCATAAGGAGTAGAACCACATGACTTCCAGGACCTCATAAATATGAGCTATGTGAATTAGTTTCGCATATTTTATTTCTAAAATGACATAGAATACTAAGAGAACTCAATTTCTCAAATTGGGCAACCATGAAGATTAGTTATCAGCATTTTTAAATGGCATTGATACATTTAAAAATTCTTAAAACAGAGAAAATAAGGTGTATATACTCAGACATAAATATAAGTTGACTTTTAATAAAATATCATTTTCTAACATAAGTTGTGAAAATAGATATTTTCAAATATCCAACTTATTATTGGATAACAACAATAATACAGTATACACCTATAGATAAGATTAAAATAAGTAATCAAACCAGAGAATATTCCATAATATAACCAAATGTCCTGTCCAGGTTCTAAAACAAAAGTCATGGGGCTATATGTAGCACATGCAGTAATTAAAAAACACTAAAATATTTTAAAACATACCTTCGTTAGCTTTAGCTCAACTGAATATAAGTATGTCTTTAGGAAGGCATCACAACATAGTCTGTATAAAACCGATTCCGCAACAAAAAATAATGCAGGCAGCTGGTCATGATCAAAGGAAGCATGGTCCAGGGAAGCATAAAGGATATTTAAGGCTTCTGAAATATTAAGTATAAATTACATAATTTATAAATCATGCTGTTTTTCTACATGCTATAATTAAACCACACAATTAACTATTTGCTAAATCATGAAGACCAGATTGTGATTTTAAAGTGTATACAAATTCTTTGACAGCCCACCCATCAAGATGCCTCCCCTCTTGAATCTGAGCAGTCTTATAGTGAAACCCACCAATAGAATGTGACAGAAGTGACACTGCATGACTTCTGAGGCTAGTACAGAAAAGAAATACAGCTGGCATAGAGATAATTCTTTAAGACAGTAGCTGTGGAATCCTAAGTTGCCATGTATGATAACAAACTACTCAATTAGCAACCTGGAGAAATTTCAAAGGAGAAATGCCTGAGGAACCCCAGGTGTACCACCTAAAATTAATAAATAACCATGCCACATATGTAGGGAGTAATACAAATAATAGGGGAATATGAAAGAACGGGATGACGAAAAGGTAGGGCTATAAATGAGAAGAGCAATAGATTAGAAAAATCAAGGGAAGGAAAACAAAACTGATGAAGGAAGAATAGAAAAAGGTTTTCAAGAAAATAGCATCAGAAATAAATTCAAAAGTTTTGAGGAGATGTCATGTAGATCACAGGAAGTAAAGCAAGCGCTAGTAAGAAAAAATTCTGACATATCAAGGAACAGAAAGGAAACCAGTCGAGCTGGAACAGTTGGTGTAACCATTGAATACAGAATAAAAGACAAAGACAGTCAGAGATTTCAGCAAGATGGATACAGAATGAATATTAAATTTGCCTTTTCCATATATCCACAACAAATTTGCAGGAAAGAAAGTTAATAACCTCTAGAAAACAGGAGCAATGTTCCAGAGGAAAAGGATAAGTTAAACTTCAATTAAGTTGTTTGCAATAATATCAGGACACAACAAAATATATGATGGAAGAATGCCTGTTCTATGTACATCACTAAAATGCCATTATAGGTCACAAACCCACCTTGAGGCACATATCCAGCACTGCACTGGATAAGAAGATACACAAAGTTAGTTGCCAAGAGAGAGTATACTATTAGAGAATGAAGGACAAGAGATACAAAATTATAATAACTGTCTTGAGACTGAGGTTCCTACTAGACAAACCAGTGGGAAGAGTCAGGTGTCTCTTCATAGAAAAGATTATTATTTGCAGCCTGTGGCTATATTTTATATACCAGTCACCATCCCACTAAAGACTGAATACAATACAAGTCAACTGCACACTTTCACTACCTGGAATTTAAACTCATGGATCTTTACAATAGAACAAGGACCTTGGGGTAAGGATCTTCTGGAGAAGCAAAGAGAACAAGTCCCAGTTTGTGGTTTTGTCTCGATTTCTATCCACATTCCAAAGCTGCATCTAGTGCTCAAATGTAGCATCTAGATTGAGCTTGGCATAATTCTATGGTACAGGTAGGTTTAGGAGCTTGTCTAAGAAGTGAATCACAATGGATACTGATCATACTATTCTGATACACACGACACAGTAGGAATCTCAAATCCCTAACACTATTTTGCTCCCCATTGCCCCAGTTCCTCCTTACCTATAACATATCACCAATACCAGCTCTTCAGAAATGTTATTAGGTAAAAAGACAATAGTCTGAAACTTTATCCCTACTACAACTTATAAAATCTATAAATGAAAATACAGAAGACTATATCAAAAATGCAAGGGTGAAAAAGATGAAACAACATAACAAATCCTGACAGAAGTCTTAATAAAGTACAACTGCAGGGTAAGCCTGAAATATTCAATATAACAATTATAATAATGCTAACTTACCAAATGACACATATATATTGTATATGCACAAACATACATATGCTTATATATGAGACTGTTACATTTAGAAAGAATGTATCTATAAAATGCAACAAATTTTAAATATAATAGAGGAATTCAATATCAAACAAAGGCAAGTAATGGAGAGAAACAGTGAGCTTGAAAGTATGATGTTGGTTTATTGCAACACTATTTACTGTAGCTAAATTAATGGCACATCCTAAGTGACCCAAAACAGATGAGTGGATCAAGAAGGCTTGGTATTTATAAACTATGTAATTTTACTCAGCAATAAAAAAATAAACTCAAGCCACTTGTGGCAATATGGATAGAGTGGGAAGGGATAAGGCAAAATGAATTAAGTCAAAAGGAGACAGATAAATACTGGATGAACACTAATGTATGGAATACAGAGTAACTAAATTAAGAGTCAGGTAAAGATTAGCTTAAAAACTAACCCTTGATTCCAGACTACAGAATTGAAACACCAAAGGGGAGGAGGGGATAGGATAAGAATGAAGAGGAAAGCACAAAGGACCATGTTGGGGGGACTATGGGTAAGTTGGAGGTGAGTGCACTGTAATGGTAATAGCTGGTGAGAGTATCCAAATATTACCTCAATTAAAAATACAGAAAAGTAACTTTAAAAAAAAAAGCTCTCAGAACAAGCAAATGGCTATGAAAAAAAGTCAGGAACAACTATTCTTATACAAGATAAATTAGACTTGATTTAAAAGTTAAGAAGAGATAGAAATGGACATTATCTTACAAGTAAGGGACTAACATAAGAAGTAACATAAATATATATGCACCAAATAATGGAGCAGCAAGTTGTATAAGACAAAACAAAACTAAAAAGAGAAATTGATGCCAACACAATAATACTTGGGAATTTTAATATTCCCTTATAACTATATACAGATTAGCACACAGAATAAATATGAAAACAAAAGCCTTAAGTAAGGACTTACACTAAGTAGGCTTCATAAACACATACAGGTTACTCTACCTTAAAAACGAAAATATCAATAATTATCATACAGGCTCATAGTAAGAAGCAAGAAAAGTTCCAGATAAACAACTTAAAACTATATCTGAAGCAATTTGAAAAAGAGGAACAAAAAAGATACAAAGTAAATCAAAAGAAGGAAATAAATGAAATAAAGATCAAAAGGACTATAAAAATGATCAATGTACCTAAGTGTTGGTTCTTTGAAAAGATAAATGAAATAGACAAAATTCTACCTGGGCTAACAAGAAGAGAAAAAAACAAGAATAAATAGAATAAAAAATGAAAGAAGTCAAATTACCATGGGTATCATAGAAATACAAAAGAACATAAGAGATTACATTGAACAATTATATATATTTATTGAAAAATAAATTTGATTACCTCAAAGAATGTACAAATTTCTAAATATAACCTACCAAGAGTAAGCCACAAAAAAACAGAAGAGTTGAACAAATTGATGACAATCATAGAATTAAAACAAAAATACAAATCTTCCTCCAAAGCCCAGTGTCAGATAGCTTTACATATTCATTCTACCAAAATTTAAAGAGTAATTTCTGCCCATCTTGCTCAAATTATCTCAAAAATCCAAGAAAAATGAGTGATTAACATCCTCACACATTTTAGGGTGCTAACATCACCTTAATACTGAAACTAGATTTAAAAGGCATAAGAAAACACTAATAAATAAATATTCCTATTACAAGCTGATGCAAAAAGATATCAATAAAAGACTTACAAATAAAATTCAAGAGTGAATTACAAGGATTTTACATTATGATCAAATAAATAAAACTGGTTTAATATACATAAATAAAACAATGTTACATCATATTAACAAAAGTGAAGAAAAAAATCATGTGATAATAAATGCTATATATCACAAACCAAGTATATATATATAATGATTAATAATAAAAAAAACCTGAAAGTGTTCCCTTTAAATTCAGGAATAATAATAAAAAAAAAGAATACCCACAGTCACCAGTTGTTTAATTTAGTATTAAAAGTTTTGGCTATATGAATTGACTATAATAGGAAACAAAGACAATCTAAGTTGGAAAAGAAGTGAAACTATCAGATGATGAAATATATGTAGAAAATCCAATAGGTTTACATAAAACTATTAGGAGCAATAAACGAATATGCAAAGCAGGAGATTGAAAAATCAAAGCTAAAAATCTGTAAAATTCTTATAGACAACCAACAAAAGAGAATATTTTAAAAAAATATTCAATACATGATCACATCAAAAAAGAAAAAAAAAGCACATCAAAAAAAAAAGAGAGAGAGAGAGAGAAAATTAAATGCTTAGGAGTAAATTTAACAAAGGGAAGTAAGTAATTATACAAAAAATAAGACACTGCTAAAATAAAAGACACAAAGAAACTGAAAACTATTTCCTGCTCATAGATTGAAAAAGAATTAGCACTGTCACTGTTACTACCTAAAGAAATACAGATTCAATGCTATAGCTATTAAAATATCAATGGCAGGCTCTCCCTGGCAGTGCAACAGGCTAAAGGGCAATGCTGTAAACGTATCAAGTTTGATCCTTGGGCTGCTAGGTGATGAACATGGTGCAACAGACTTCTCCTGACTTGCCTGCTGCTCCCCTCAGCAATGTATTTCAGTAGATCCAACTGTTCTACTCCCCACTCTCTCTGGTGAATCTTCTCACCAGCACCCCCCACCCCCACAAACACACACCTCTGGGCTCTAATTTACATAGGGAAAATACTTTTGAACCTCATATGGCTAACATTCCAAAGTCATTTTTTTTATAATACAGTAGTTTATTTTATATCATTTTGTGCCTTTTTCCATCTTAGTTGTAATCCCTGTGGGCTTCCCATCACCAAATCACCCATGTGCCATCACCATAGTCCAGTGTACTTCCCTCCCCCCATTGTTTTTGATCCCATTCCCCACACCACCCCCATAAAATGTCTCTGGTATATAGTTGTTCACTATTGTTATTATTTTCTCACCTGGTCCTTTATACTCCTGCTATGAGTGAAACCATACAGTATTTTTCCTTTTCTTTCTGGCTTGTTTCACTAAGCGTGTTGCTGCAAAAGGTATGCGTTTTTTTGTTTGTTTGTTTTTGGTTGTGAGTAGTATTCCATTGTGTATTTGTACCACATCTTTTTAGTCCAGTCATCTACTTTTGAGCATTTGGGCTGTTTCCATGTTTTTCCAACAATAAACATGGGGGTGCAGGTATCTTTTTGAATCAGTGTTTTTGTGTCTTTTAGGTAGGTACCTAGGAGTGGGATTTCTGGGTCATATGGAAGCTCCATGTTCAGCAGTTTGAGGAATCGCCAAACAGTTTTCCATAGTGGTTATACTAGTTTGCATTCCCACCAGCAGTGCAGGAGAGTTCCTTTTTTCTCCACACCTCACCAACATTTGTTGTTGCTAGTTCTTTTAAAATGTGCCATTCTCACTGGGGTGAGGTGATATCACAATGAGCAAAAGTTTTTAAAACAATTTTGCAATTAAAAAATTGAACAGTAAAATTCATAAATTCAAAATTGGAAAAGGAACTTTCAAAATGAACGTCAGACATTTTAATAGAGAAATGCAAGTATTTCTTGATTCCTGCACAATTTCTTAATATTAAAGATCTCAAATTGTGGCTTCAGTATGAATCTAGAAAATATTTAGGGTAATTAAGAAACACTAATTAGAGCACATACCATCTTGGATTTCTCCTTTGCACTGAGCCAGGTACATCACGGAAGTCCATGCAGTGGGGAGGTTAACGTGCTTCCCAGAACCCAAGGTTTTGAGACCCAGTTTTCTCTATTATGGGTAAATAGGAAAGAGGCAGAATAAAATGTATAGTTATATTATGGCCTTTCTTTCTCCCCCCCTCCCTCCTCACTATCCCTCCTCCCTTTATTCACCCTTTAACTGTATTCTCGATATCATTCTATGAAGCTAATGCTTTGTGACCATAGTTATGTATTTTATATTTTTTGCTTTTGCTATTTTTTGACATTTTCTGTAAACTGTCTTAGTGTTACAAATGTAGGGAATGTCTGTTATATTGTGTGTAACATAACTGCACTCCTGGAGCTGCCCTCAGAAGCCAGAGCTGGCCAACTGGAAAGACGTGCAGTGATAAGTGTAGCTGCTGCTATCTGTCCACGTGCATTCTGATCAAGAGTACTCTCTATTCAAATCAAATTCAAGTGGATTTTTTTCAACTTTTTTACATATATAGGCAAAACCATAAATTAAAAGACAGGAAAGCAACAACCACAACAAAAACCAGCACCTTATTTATGCCCTAGTTCTGGGAAGCTTTTATTTCAAGTACTGTTTAGGCTTAAGCAAAAGCACATTCATACTACTAATCTTTCAAACTTAATCTAATGCAGGAAAGACAAAACAAGGATTTATTTTATTTCTTGTTCTCTTTTGATATGTGTTTAAATTTTGGGGAATTATGGGTATATGCTTAAATAATTTAACTTTTATAAGTTGGTGAAAAGTTACTTGTTACACAAAAAATGGGGTATTTTATGTGTGCATAGTGAAGGCTTAAAAAAGCTCTTTCCACTTTGGGACATCATAAACCTGTTAAATTTATTTTGGGAAAAAATGAAATTTCTGTAACTAAACATATATTTTCCAGTTTATTATATTTTGCCATGGACTCTTGGACCAGTGTTGACAGCTATATTTACAAGTAATTTGGGAGAATCATCGAAAAGTTATTTGAAGTTGAACTATTTGTTGTAAGCTTTAACTCTAAGTTATACTAATATGCTTAACTGTATTTATAATGAAAGAAAGATGCATTCTTCTTCCTTTCAGTAATATAAAATGTGGTCATCTATCAAGAAAAAGAGAAAGTTCAGATACTAAATAATCAAGTAGCTTACCATTACCTTACATCTCAGAATGTTTTTTCTAGCGATGTCCAACATTTTTTCCTCCTCTTTTGGATTTTTGGTTTCATTGAATCTCAAGATAAACTCTCTGGTGGTTACAACTGATGGCCTAAACAAACAATCAGTAGTTATAGCAATTTGTTCCAAATTTAAATGAATCAAATTCCAGTTGCTAAGTGTAATTTTTCTAGAAAAAAAAGTGTTTTGCCTTCTTAGTGATAATGTCTCATATATAATGTCTCAAACACACCCCCCAAAAAAGCCACAAAACAAAATATGTATATGCAGGTCTACTATATTGGATAGATAATTTTCTTGGATTGAGAAACCCAATATAAAGAACTTCATAGCCTATGGGAGGAAAAAAAAAATGGTGAGATGGTTGACAGATATCTTGTAAAAAACATATCTTCTACATAGGCAAAAATCCAGCCCACTTCAATCATGTGGAAGACCTCACCAATACTGGTGTTGGTTCAATTCAATTTATGCCTTTATTCCTTCCATGCAAGTTAAAAAAAAGTTCAAATTGTAGCTTAAGTAAAGTAAGCAAGGGAGGAAAGAGGGGTGACAAGTAGGCACTATACGCAGACAAAAGTGAAAAAAGGAACAGAAGACAGGATAGGACATTGAGGAAATTACTAAAATGAATTCAAATGTATGTACAATTTGGGGTGTAACATCCTTCTCTGAAAACTGTTCATAATTCAGAGACCCTGCTAAACCAGTCTACTTAAATTCTATCTTCCTTTTGACTCCACTTCCAGCCCATCCCAGCAATAGCTGATTGGGTCACAATAGACTTTGACTCAAGTTAGGCAAATCTAATACTTTTTCCCGGTGTTTTAAATAATACTTTGATACTTCAATGTTGGCCTTAGAGCTGAAAAGTCACATGAATTGGCTTTGGCTGACAGGGTCATTCAAGGCAACAAAGCTTGATAGATATCTGTTCACTATGGTAATCCCCAATCAGTGGCCATTGTACGATTTTCTGATTAATCACCAGAGTCCTATTCCTTTACAGTTTATAGTCTCGTGTGGATACAGAATCTCTGTGAAGTTGGCCATTTCATCTCCAATATGCATCAGAGAATACCATGGGGAATGAATGAGTGATGGAGACCTGGTTATAACTTCTGCTCTCAAGTTCCACAAGAAAGTCTAATACCCTTCCATTATATTTTTTGTTTGTTTCAGGTAATTTGAATGTGTGCCCCTTCATGCAAACAAACAATAATAGAATGAATACCAAGGAATATACAAAAATACTTATCTGCATAGATATCAAGGGTAAAGACAAAGAGATCATTAGCATTAATGGTTAAAAAGTCAGTGAAGATCAATGAGAATGTTTCACCAAGTAAATAAGAACAGAACACATATTTCAAAGTGCTAACAAAAAACATGGAAAAAATAATTTAACATTGACTATACCTTTAGTAGGTTTGGTATTCTGGGAAGTTGAAAATAATAAAATTGAGATTTAGACATTTCAAGTAACATTTAACCTGGTTTCTCATAAAACCGTAAGTAGGAGCATAATGATCCTGCTTATTTAGGTATATATAAATGATGAAGATGAGTATAGATAAAGTGTTAGTGATATGAACACAAACAGAAATTTACTTTATAAATACCTATCCTAAATTTATCCATCTTAATGCACTAATCTTGGGTGTCTACTTTTGAAATCAGATACTGTTTCCAATATCTACTTTTCTCCTGGGTACCTAAGAAATTGATTATAGCATCTTCACAAAATGGTCATCCAAAAAGTTTTATGGTAGAAATTAGAAACAGGCCTCACAAATATTTCTAAAAATATTTATGGTTTTGAGATATTCTTTTATTATGCCTTTGTATTTGTATACATGTTGATTCTATATTAGCAAATAGAATACTGTCTTCTACTTTGAAATTGTAAATTCTCCCACTTAATGTAGAGAATTCTACAGAAAGAAGGGGGAAGAACTAATATAGCCTGAATTTTGAATGAAAAGTTATATAGAAGAAAACTGGGGCTGAAAATATTTACAAAAATAAAAGCCTACTTCCTTTACTAAATGTATGTTTTATGTGAACATTCTACTCTGCATTTGATAATCAGCAATGGCCCTTCCAAGCCTGTTGATAAAAAGCCTACTCAGAACATCTAGATTTTTAAAGTTTAATGTCATCTGTTGAGAAGTGGCAATCTATACCAAAGAATACCAATCAACTAGCTGAGTAACAGACACACTAAACTATCAAGGGCAGATATGCTTGCCTGTATCTTTTGTTTAGAAAAAAAAAAAATACACTTTATCTGTCTTTGCTAATATTAAACAAAGTAAAGTGAAAATCAATGACTGATACATTCATCTTAATAAAATTCCTTTCCACAATGGGTATATATCTGTTGACACAAAGAAAATTTTAATGAAATGAAGGACCTGCTTTCTTAGGGATGACTTGGCCAAAATATCTCCAAGAAGGAAGTAGGTTGCGTTGTGCCAGCAAGCACAAGACAGACTTTCCATCGATTCAGGAGACAGGTAAAGGAGAGACATGGAGCCCTCAGTAACTATCAGGCTTTGAATGATCTTTCTGCACCACTTGGAGTGAGGCAACCAGGTGCAGGGCAGTTGGGGGAGCAGGGACACAGGACGCCTGGCAGGCCTCATCCCCACAAAATCTTTACTCTCTGGGCTCTCTCTGAGGTTCTCTCATGATAGCCCTTCCACTGACCTCTGCTGTTCACCGAGGTCCTGCATGACACCACCCTTGTAGCTCAGGTGTGACCACTTACACCTGCCCACACTGCACTGCAGGTGTCCACTATCAGGCATGCATGCCCCAAGCACACACCACCATCAGGCATGTGTGCCCGAGCCCATGCTTCTTAGTACCTTCTGCATTCAATCAAGGTCACAGATGATAGCCACAGAGGCCATCACCACAAAACCTTGATCATCTCATTTACCCTACAGGTGGATCCCTGACAATGCTTCCTCTGCTAAAATGTAGGTCCCTGCCAGAACTCTAACATTCTGCCAACTCAGGTAGAGTTAAGAGAATAGAATCTCAGGTCTCAATGTACAGAATGGGTTTCAGAGGGGAAATAGCAGCAACAATTTCAGTACTCAAACAAAGGGAATGTCCTTCCCTTTACTCTCAAAAATGCAAATTCCCAGAATGTTGATACCACAATGAAACTTTCTCAACTACACCAATTAGATCAAGGCCTAAATATAAATCTAATTCTTGTTTCATTGCACAATTAAATGAGTCATTTACTTGCACAGTAAAATAAAATAAAGTAGGCGGGGAGATTCCACCCACAACATGGTGGAATACAGAAACGAGCCTATCCCTTGAAACCAGCTGGAAAAACTGATAGGAGGGGGAAAATTAGCAAAAAGAGAAGTGCCAAGACGGGGGAATCGACCTCTCAAGCCCCACTGAAGTAAACCAGTGCATTGTGAAATTCTGACACAATCAACCTGAGCTCAACCTGAGGCAGTGGGGAATTTGGCAAAATCCAATCTGGAAAATTGGGAACTCTGCAATTCGGGCAATGTGCCCAGTGAAACTTCCCTCCTACCTCTGCAAGAGATCAAAGAAAAGCCAGGAGGAGCCAGACCACTGCATAAAAGGCACCACATCCAAAAGCAGAACTTCAGCATGAACTCACAAATGCTCCTGGAAGTCAAGACAATGGCTTGGATATTTCCCAGAACAGCAGACGCTTTAGCAGAGGCACTGATGGAGCGGCACGGCCATTGTGGACACACGTGAAGCCATTACACACACAGCACAGCCTCTAGCTGGGTGCAAATTAGCTCCAGCATGTACACCTGGAGACCCAGGATGTGCCCTTACCCCTGGTTTCACAGATCACAACCTTTGGAAGAAAGGAACAGGGAGGCAGGGGGGGAAAGGCAAAACAAACTAAGCATAGAAAAGAGCTTACTAACGTCACTCCTCAAACCAGCATCAGGTATTAAAGCCCTAGACCTTCCTCCTTCCTCCATCTCACACAGAGGTAAACTAAGAAGAAAACAACTATAAGGCCCCTGTGCCCAGTCATATGCACAATAGGCATGTCCAGAAAGCAAGGGGCAACTTAATACAAGATAGAAAAGCAAAAGGACACAAATCCTGGGACAAGTATAGAGGAGGCAGAAATGGTGAAACCATCTGACGACTTTGCAAAAATAATATTAAGAATGTCAAATGTGCTGAAACTGGTCAAGGGCAAACAGGCAGATAGAAGATTTCATAAGGGACAGCCAGGAACAAAACGGATTCTTCACTGAAGAGTTTGAATATATAAAAAGATCACAAAGAGATTTCCGAATGAAATCCTGAAATTTAGTGTTTTAGGCTAAAAATGGCAGAGGAAATAATTTCAGCTATAGAAGACTCAAATAAATGACACAGTTAGGAGAGCTTCAAGAGAAAGGAAAATTGAGGAAACTCTATGGGAAATAACATATTCAATTAGAAGGCCAAACCTATGAGTGACTGGACTCCTAGAAGGGGAAGAAAAAGAAGACTAGAAAACATATTAAAAAAAAATAATAATTAAGAATTTTCCAAATCTACAGAATAAATTAAATATGGAATTCCAGCAAGCAGAGAACACCTACATTCTTAGATGTAAAATGACCTAGTACCCTCCCTGGTGGTGCAATGGGTTAAACTGGCAGCGCTGCAAGCAAGCTTCAGCAGCTTCACTGTGAGTTGGATTCCAGCCCCGGAGGTGACCCACACGGCGCGGCAGACCTCTCCTGTTTCACCCGCTGCTCCCCTCAGCAGTGTACTTTGTCCATCTACTTGTTCTGCTCCCCACTCTGTCTCTGGTGAATCCTCTCAACGCCCCTGCACCTCTGGCCTGCACCCCAGTTCTGTATGAGTAAATAAATAAAGCTTTTATTAAAAAAAAAAAAACCTATATCCAGACCTATCATTGTCAAACTATAAAAAAATCAAGATATAGGGAAAAAAAACTGCAGGAAGCAAAAAGAAAAAATAATAGTCACCTATGAGGGTTCCCAAATTAAGCTTTCCCAAGATTTCAGCCAAGACACTCTCCAGACAAGAGAATGGAAGAAAATGCTTTAATCCTAAAAAAAATAAGTGAAGAACTATCAGCCAAAAATTCACTATCTTGAAAAAGTGTCAATTAAGTATGAAGGGGTAAAAAGGGATAAAAAGCTTTCTCAGACAATGGAGTCTGCCACCACCAGACCCACTCGTCAAGTTATATTAAAAGGAGTATTTCAACAAAATAAATAAATAAATAAAAGTGAGACATGAACTCCTTAGCAAAACAAAAATAGCAATTTAGCACTAATAACAAGAGCAAGAGTACTATGAGTCAACATCACCAAATATTAAGAGAGGAGGAGGAAATGTGCAGAACCAGTACTGTTAAATGTCAGGGAAAAAACACCAGCTCATAAAATACCAAAACAGGAATTCAAGTAAAATCCCCATGATAGCCACTAACCAAAAATCAAAAACAAGACACCCACAGGTAGAGAAGCCAATAAGTTGATATAAATACTAAGGAAAATGATCCAGAAAGAGTAGCAAGGAACAAAAGGGAAATGAAGAACAGAAAATATAAAACAATCAAAAAATAAATAAATGACTGAAAATAATTCATATCAATAATCATGCCAGAAGAGAATGATCTGAATTCAGCAATAAAGAGATACACACTAATGTGGGGAAAAATTCCAACCATCAAAACTTTGTTTACAAGAGACTTAAAGATTAAAAATAGCATGGTGGGATACGGTCATGCATGATAATAATTCAGGGAGTAAGTCAGGAACTGCTATTCTTATATCCAATAAGTTGGCTTTTAATTTAACAAGGTAGTCAGGGACAAAGATGAATGCTGTATAAAAACCAAGGGACAAATGATCAAGAAAATATAATTCTTGTTAATATTTATGCTCCAAATACACGAGCAACTGGTTATATAAATAACATACTCAAAACAATATAAAAATACAATTGTCTGATTTCAACCAACCAAAGACACAATGGGATAGATGACAAAACAGAAAATTTATAAAGAAATGAAGGCCTTAGATGAATTCTTATATTAGATGGGTTTACTCTAAATTTATAGTGTTCCATCCTAAACACAATGAAAACATTTTCTTCTCTAGCACATATGGAATGTTTTTAAGAATAGATAATACACTGGGACTAAAACAGGCTCAGAAAGTATGCTATCTTGCAAGTAAGAAGGGGAAACAAAGGTTTTCTCAGACAGGCAGAAGTTAATTGAGTCTGCCACACCAGACCCATTCTTCAAGTAATATTAAAAGGTGTATTCTCCCCACCCCCCCAAAAAGAAACTGAAGCAATGGATCAATACTAGGACATAAAAGAAGTCTCAGAATACATAGGAAATAGAAACTGTATCAAGCAACTTCACAGACCACAATGCAACAAAACTAGAAATTAACCATAAAAGAAATCCTGAAATAAACCTAAATATATGGGGACTAAATAAGCAATGCTTGGGTCAAGGAAGAAATTGAAGAATTAAAAAAAAAAAAAAAACTACAGACTAATGGAGAGACACACTAGCAAACCCTATGAGATTCTTTAAAAAGAGTACTATGGAGGCTTATAGCAATACAGGCCTATATACACTATAATATATATGGATATATATATATATATATATATACATATATATATATACATATGTGTGTATGTATGTATGTATATATATATAAAGAAATATCTGTAGTTGAATAAATTAGTAAAAGAACAACAAAACACCCAAAACCAGTTGAAGACAAGAAATAATAAAATTAATGAAGAAATAAGAAGATCAAAAGATCAGTGAAACCAAGAGTTGCTTCTTTGAAAAATAAAACAAAACAAAAAAATTGACAAGTTATTAACTAGGCTTACATAAATAAGAGAGAAAACTCAAATTAATAGAACCTATTATAAAAGCCTCTATATAAACAAAATGGAAAACCTAAAAGAAGTGGACAAATTCTTAGACTCATATGACCTAAGATTGAGCCAGGATGAAATAGAATTTACATAATCCAATCACAAGCCCTGTGATTACTCTTACAATCGTAAGAGTAAAAAACCAAAGTCTAGGACCAAATGGCTTTACCAGTGAATTCTACCAAACCTATAAAGAAGATCCAATGCTTACATAAACTCTTCAAAAAAATTGAAGAGTGGCTCTCCCTGGTGGCTCAGCAGGTTAAAGCACTGAACTAAGAAGTTTAAGCCACTTCCGCATGAGTTCTATTCCTGCCTGCCCTGGAGGTGACCACATGGTGTGGCAGACCTCTCCTGACCGCCTGCTGCTCCCCTCAGCAGGGAACTTGGTCGATCCCCACTCTGTCTCTGGTGAAGCCTCTCACCCTCCGCATCTCTGGCCTGTACCCGAGTTCTGTATGAATAAATAAATAAATCTTTAAAAAAAAAATTGAAGAGTGAGGAAATCTCCCTTATACATTTGATGAGGCCAATATCACCCATATCCCAAAGCCAACAAAAAATAATTACAAAGAAGAAAATTATAGACCAATATATGTGATGAACATAGATGCAAAAATTCTCAACTAAAATCCTAACAAACCAAATAATAACATATCAAGAGAACCCTCCACCATGATCAAGTATGTTTCATCCCAGGGATGCAAATCTGGTTCAACATATGTAAATTAATCAATACCATCCATCAGGTCATCAAAAAGCAAGACAAAAATCACACAAAATCATTTCAACAGATGCTGAAAAGCATTTGGCAAACCCAACATCCATTTATGATGAAAATGCCCCAAGAAAT